TTTGTATGCATGATAGCCTCCATATTAGCCAACAACTCCAGAGGCAGAATCTGAGTGCTCTCAAAATATGTCCTTAAGCTGTGGAATTTCCATTTCTAGCTTCCTGGGTGCACCCACATCTTGATGGCTCACAACTGCTGTCTCTGGAAAGTCCAGTTCCATGAACATGTGTTAAATGTCTCTCTGAATCTCTGTTGCATTTAGTTACTCAGAGATTTTAAGCTATTGGAACATGTTTTTTCTGGATCCTAACCATAACTAGGCTGGCAACTTCAGAAAAAGCATTGAATCAAACAGATACATATTTACTGGGTGAAATTAAGCAACTTCAAGATTAGGCAACAGCTGATGAGTCTTATTTGGATCCCAATTTTGGTCTCGAAGTCGCAGTTCCATCTTCAGTCCTGCTTTAAGTGCCTGTATCCTGGCTACGGCACAAAGGCTTTAGGGAAACCTAGTGCCTGTGTTCAAGTGTGCTTTTGCATGGAGACCACGAGGAAAAGACACTCTTTAGTCATCCTCAAACTCTCTATGATGGTATGTGCTGGTATTCTCTTTTTCGCTTTTGAGTAAACAAAACTGATAGTTTCATGGTGGTCTGTACAGATCTCAAATGTAATTCTTTTCCTCCTTTCCCTACTCTTAGGGCTCAAATACTCCAAACAAAGGGCTTGAGGTTTTTTGGTTTCTTCAGTATGATTTTGTTCAGGTCTCATTGTTGGTTTTGTGAAATAAGGTGAAAGTTAGAAGAGTGAATCCGATGTTTTTCTGTGCAGGTAAATTAGATTTTTCAGAGCTAATTTATTTAATCTCAAACACCACAAAATCCCCATTTCTTAACATTTACTAATCTGAGATTTGTAGTGAGAATGAAATGGAAAGAAAGGGCAGTTGTTACAAAAATACACAGGGACCTTCTTTTGAAGAATGTTGACCTAGAAGCTGTGTACACATATTTCTTTTGTTGGAAGAAATGTTTTAAAAGGTGAATACAATAGTTGTATATTTTCTCAGGGGAAACCTCAAATAACAATTATATTATTACTATTCAAACTCATATGGATATATATTAAAATGGAAAATGTGTTACATTCAGTAGCTTGCAAATAATATGCTTGCTTTTAGAACTTCGTAGAAATCTCCCCCTCCTTTCAAAACAGAGAACCTGCATTTAGTCTGTCAAGAGCACTAAAGCATTAGACAGCTATTATTAACTTTCTAGGTTGCTCTCAAATGCTAAATACTAAAAATGTGAAAGTAGCTGGTTTGCATTTAAGAGCTTGCAGCTCAGATTCATTTTATAAAACACAGAAAATAGAAAGGTAGATGTTGCCTGTTGGCAATTATTCAATGAAAAATTTCATCCTGTAAAATACATGTGGTAAAGGAACAGATATTTGAGGGGTAGAAAAGACTGCAGAAAGATAGGTGCTTTTTTGTGTCATTCATTTTGAGAGAGGAGTGTGTCTGATACTTGCACTGTTTTCCGTCCATTCATTTCTAACCCAAAATTAAAATTCACTTTAATGTGGAAGTTAGTCCGTCAAGAGGATTTTTCTGGTATATGGTTCAATCCCATATGCCAGAGAAGTCATCTCTGACATGTCTTTTCAGCAGCTCATGGGGGATGATCTAGGCAGATAGAAATCCTTTGACTGGAAATCCTTTTGCTGGAAGGACTACCCAGCTTGCAACACTGATGGCAGAGAAGCTGTTGTTGATAGTTGTGCTGTTCCTTACAGTCTGGCTGATGGTGTTGAGAGCAGCTGAGGGAATTGGATTCCCAGGCCCACAGCAGCAGTGCATAGTGCTTCTTTTCTTCATTTTGAGGGAAGAAAAGGAAGAGTTAATTTTAGTCTAACATGCAAAGCTTTTCTTTCTGTGCAGTGCATGAAGCATAAACTTGGTGGGAGGTCCATGAAGCAGAGCCTTGCTCTGCCCCATTAGCATTCTGGTCATACTTTAGGACAACATAAGGAGACTTACAGCTTTTAGAAATGTTGTTTTGCTCTCATCTACCCCACAGCTGAATTCTGTATAGAGAGGCGGTGTTGTGCCATGCTAAGCCTAAGGTTTTTCAATTTCTTAGCTGCGTGTTTTCTACTAATTATTCTTTCTCCCGGTCCCCACCCTTGTAGTTTTTACAAATCAATGAGAAAAATTAAAGGCAATTAATTCAGTTCAAGATTTACTTCTACCAAGTCATTCCCTAGCCTATGTTCATATTTACAATTTTCTTTTTCTTTCCTGTTTTTTTTTAATACTTTTGATAGTAGCTTGAAAAAAATTGTGGGTTTAGTGTCTGCTCATGAACAAGGTCTTAGGAAACTTCACTGACCTCCCCTTGCTTCTGCTGCAGGGAGGGAAAAAGATTCATGCCTGTTATTTCCATCACCACAGGTTGAAATGGGCTGTGTTGCCTTCAGAGCAGCCCAGCCATCTGCCCAGGTGAGTTCTGGATCTGGCAAAGCCAGGATCCGTAAGCAGACAAGGGCATGCTTTCAATAAACTCTCACAGTGGAAGACAACTCAATACAAATAACCCCTACTACAGGTTCTTTTAAAATAATGAATTCTCTTCTGTAGATATGAAACTTTTGTATTTTTCACCTTTTAGTTTCTGAATGCTGCAGGACATATATTGCATTGACTGAATTGATTGATTGACTTAAGAAACTGAAATGCTTTTCTGCTGTTGTGATTAGAGGACATGGAATAATGTGTATCATACTAACTGTTTATTTTGTTTAATTCTTTCTGCAGGGAACTTGAACTAAGTTCTCAAATTCCTTAGATTTTTTTTTCTTTTAGGCAAAACTATTCATGCAATTGGGTTTTCACTAGGCAGAAAATAAAATATTCAGAACTGTTTTGTGCTTATTCCCTCTAGAATCACAATTATGTCTCTAAACAAGAAGTTGATTTTGAAACAGGTTACAGGTTTTAATAATTCTCAGTGTTCCCTTCAGGTTCCCTTTTTATGTAGAGAGTGTTGTACTAATTTCATCTCTAGGTTCAGGGCAGAAGTACCTTAAATATGGATCAGAAATAGAACTGGCTGCAAAGGCTGGCTCTGTACTTTCCCAAAGCTTTGGAGTGTTTAGATCTTGGAACTTGATTTTGGTCAGTCCTGTTCTTTGATATCCTCAGATGAAAGACAGACTATAAATGTGAAGAGCAAATTCTTTTGCCTTGGTTATACCAGTGTTACCGAATTAGTGCCAATGTGGTCACATGCTGCAGCAGGGTGGAATTTTTTGTATTTATTGTAAGTAGCAATAAGGAAAAGAAACCTATTGAAGAGAAGAAACACAAAACTGTAAATGGCCAGGCAGCAGGCCTCATGCTAACTTTATTTGCCAAACTGGTGATTTACTCCAACATTAACATTTTATGCAACCAAGCTGAATTTACTGTATAAAACACTTTATTGCAGCAACCCTGCCTCTCCCACCCTTCGGCTTTTTAAAGAGATTGAAGGCATAAACTGCTAAAAGACCTGAAATTGTTTTGGTATCTGTATTCAGTATCCCTCCAGGTTTGTTTACTACATAAAGAGCAAAGAAAACCAGCTAAACATATTAAGAGGATAGAGAAGTTTTAGTTGTAAAATATCCAGGGCCTTTATTGTAGACTTATGGGTCTACACTGCAGATTTCTAATAGCAAACAATAGAAGTGAAAAATAAGAGGGTTTAATGCATTAGTTATGGGTTGGTAATGGACAGATATGTGGTGCCTATTCTCTGGCTGGCGTGGCATGGCATCAGCCTTGGGTCCCCACTAAAACAAAAAAGCGGAAAGTCAAACAACAGTCGTGTCAAATTAAACCTCTTTTTGTTTAATTTTTCAAAGTGATTCATTTAGCAGGTTGGCAGACAGTCAAACTGATAGCTAACAATAGTTCATTTATTTAATGTTGCTTTCAGTACCCTGCAGCCACTCGACTGCATCAGAACTTATCTTCTGTAATTCTCTTTGAGCTGCGAAGATAGGCCAGGAAACTGGGGTAGGTCAGGTGTACATGAAGGCACAGCTCACATGGTGGGGCACTTTGTGCTTCGTGAACCATAGAATTGGGAACCGATTTTCAAGAACAGTTAAAGCTTACGTTTAATCTGAAAAGTGAATAAAACTGATATAAATATGTTCAATGTTTGCTGAGTCTGAACAATCAAAAAATAAAAGAACCCAGTTTATAGAGTAAAAAAAAGTGTTGTGTAAATTGCCAAAGCTGCATATTGTGAGAGCAAACAATGAAAATGAGATCTTTCCTGACTACATTTTCTCACCAGTTATAAAAATTTGGGTTAGTCTCTTGGTGATTTCCATGTTAATTCTATTTTTTTAATAGGGTTGAAAAACCCTCGGTCTGAGTAGAATGAACAAAGAACTCTGCAGTTTTGCACAAATGTGAGTAAATCTAGTAATAAGCACTTTTTAGTAATGATTTGCGGGGCTTATAAAGTTAAGTAAAAGTTTTTATGTCAATGAAGTTGGTAGATACAAACCTAATAATCAGAGAGGAAGCAGATCAATTGAATGAGAAGATAATATTTACAGTAAGTGTGAGTGTTGATAGAAAAGTTTGTTCTGTTTAATAGAATTTTGTGGGACTGTTGAATTGTGTTTGATCAAGGAGCTCTGGCATAGGTTGTTCACCTAATGAAAACAAGTATAGTGTATGACAGTTCTCTGGCATTTTAGAATTGTGTATCATGCAGTATAACTATATACAGAAACACTACAGGGAGTGGGAAAATATGAGCAGCCTGCACATGTACGACATCTGTTTAAATCACATGCATAATTTTTGTTCATTTGTTTGTTTGTTGTAAAAGCTGGATAATTTTGATCTTCAGTTTCAGTTTTTACATTTTCCATGTATACTTCTCCATATATTCATGCTTACACAAGGCAATCTCTGAAAAAAGAGAACATTTTTATACATAAGAACCATGGATTGTATATTAAATATAAATTTCTATTATTCAGCTCTGGTGAGGATTATCTATGCTTGCAAGGGACAAGTTTTCTCAGAAGCCAAGTAATCCTTTCAGTGCTGTTCCTGTAAGTATATTCTGTCTATGCCAAAAGTTCTTGTGCCCATGGTTCATGTCTAGTTTTGTGCTGCTCTTTTACCACAGAAAGTTATTTTAGAATAATTTTCAAATGCTATTTTTCTCAAAGAAGCATAGTTACCTGTTACTCAACTTATATTTATGAAAATAAATCATTTTGATAAAGACTTTTTTTTTTTTTATAAAACGTGTGTATTGCTGTTATCCAAAAAAGACTGGAGAAAGAGCACTGGTCCATCATTCCTGATTCTCTGGGGCTATCTTTATGTGATCCTTGTGTTAAAACCTGTAATTTTTCCTCTCTGGATTGCATTTAACATATAATTTTTATTATTCCTTACTGTTACTGTATCTTTAATGTGTTGAAGAAGGTTTGTGTTCTCTGACATCCTGGTGAGCCAAGCCAATGAGAATTTTTGGTAAGTATGCGTCTTCAGTCAGCCAAATCAAGAATGCATTCTTATCAAAAGGAATTCTTCAGCCTAACATGGTAAAGAAACAATCTGTTTTCAAGAAAAATGTGCATTATAGAAACAATACAATGTCCATTAAAAATACATTAAATGTCCTTATGCTTTGTATTTTCTAGTGGGTTTTAGAGTGATGTGAGACCCCTGGTGGCCTAGTGGTTAGCATGCAGGACTCTCACTGCTGCAACCCGGGTTCGATTCCTCGGTCTCCCGGGCAGATGGAGCCCGTTAGGCCTGTGAGGCCATCCATCTATGAGAAGGTCACTCTAAACAAACCTACGTCCTGAGGACCTCACTGCCATTGTCCAAGCTTGCTTGGCCCCGGCAGATGAACCTTAGGATTAAAGGGTGGGCTCAGTTCAGCGCAGGCTGTGTCTCACCTAAAAAATCCATTGCGCAGGCTGGAAAGGTAAAAGACCTTTCCCCAGATCTTCGTTCGCGAAGACTGGCCATTATATTATTTAGAGTGATGTGAAATATGATGGAGAAAACCAAATTCTAAATGTGTTTTGCTTACCACACTATTGTAAATAAATCATGAGCACTTTACTCTGATGAGAATGCTGGAAAAGCTACTGGTATTGAGAACATCCATTGTGATGAGGATCAAAAATCAGTCTGCTATAATAAAGGCCCACACCGCTAAGGACTTTAAAATAAAAAAACACTTGAGAAATGTAAAATCAATACAGCATTGGTTAGAGATAATACAAAGACAATGTAAGAAGCAAAACAAGCATAATTTTATTGTTATTTACTACCAGTGTTGTTTATATTGCACCGCAGTGATATACATGCTATATAGATGGGTGTATAAATAACATTTTCTCCCAAAATTTAAAACTAAATGCCTATGCACAGAAAAAGCAAAACCACAGGAAGGGTGGTGCCAGGACTGTTCATGCCAATGCAAAAATGTCCTACTATGTGTGGTGCTGGTGGTGTTGGCATGGGATATACAGGATATTTTATACTGTTGAAATGTATATTTTGAAAATATAACCCAGAGGGTAAAATCCAGTCATGAAATTGAGTTTTGCCTTTGACATCAAAAGGGCCGTGGTTTCACTCAGGTGGGTACTTTTGTCAAAGTATAAAAAAACATATGCCTGGAGAGAGTATTAGTCAACAACTGAGAGACAACTAATACAATTTTATAGTTATTTTTCTTGAAAGTCCTTTTAGTTCTGGGAATAAACAGGAGTCAGTATTGATGGAGGGGTATAAACATAAGGCATACAGGCCAATGTGGTCAGCCATATGTTCCATTTATTATTTAATTAAGTCAACTTTTATACAGTTTAGTTTGTTTGGGGCACATGCTTACAACAAGGTGATTGGATAGCTCAGCCTGTGCACGCGTCTCATGTCTCCAGTTCATTGGACCTGATGTTCTGTCCACGCGATCTGAAGTCATAGTTGGAATGTAGAGGCCTTCCTAATTAGGAACTTTCTGAAATCTGCAGGTGCACCCTTATCTATACTTTCTCAAGGCTTTCTTGCTCTAAACATACTATGTTCTCAAACCTTATAATTAGACACACAGCTAACAAGTATAAACATTGCATATTTTCACACAGTCTATAAGCATAAACATTACAGCTTACAGCTTCTAGTCATGTCAAGCAAGGCCTACAGAAATGCAATGGAAATTGTTCACAATTTGAACCCTGCAACAAGTCAGTATCAAGGTTATACTTCAAAATTGCAGCCTAAACTATGTGTTTCACCTTCCATAGTCAAAAAGTGTAGAAGAAAGTTTCGTCAGCTTTTGTGATGGAATCACTTCACTCAAATGAAAGGCAGAGAGAGATCACATGAGGAGATAATAATAAGAGACATGAATTTTAGTCCAAAACTTACGAGTTTTGGGTTCCACAGGCTTCAAACATAAGCATGCAAAGGTGACAAAAGGGAGTAATTGCTAAAAGGAGGCAACTTCCAGACTGGATTATGGGTTGTGTTCTTTATTCAGTGCAATGTGATACTTCCTGGACACTGCTGGAGTCAAAACATTTAGAAAACTGAATATAAGTTAATCATCTCCCCAGCAGCCTGAGGGGTTTTTTTTCATATTTCCCACAGTTTTAAATAAAAATGCAAGGAATCATGCTTTTTCCCACTCTTACTTGCAAAAAAATATAATTGCTTAGTCAAATAATCTGGTTCATTGCTTATACTAGAAAAAGACATTTGAGTGAGAATATGTCATTATGAAAGACTTATTTTACAGTTGTGTTACATTCTGCAGACAGAGTTAAATCTCTGTGCTGTTATAGCATGCACATTTCTTCACCAGCAATTTCTGACACAACTGGAGGGCATTAGAAAGACAAGCTTATAAATAGTTGGAGCAGTCTGCGTTTAAGGAAGACATTATAGAAAATAACTTCAGACCAGGCAATTGGAAATTTAGTTAGAAGGAGGCAGAGATTCAGACCTGTAAGTGGATTTAGGATTTCAAAAGACTAGAGTTTGGTGAATTGTGGATACAGAACACGCCTTTGGTGAATAGCAAGAGCTCTGCAAGTGACCACCTGTCAGCTGAGGCACAGAAATTATCTGTAAACACACCTCAGTCATGAAAAAACTCATTAGCTCAGACCTCACTGGAACTAATCAGCTGCCTTGATTTAACCACCAGATGGGCATAGATGATCACAGAGAAGCAGCTGAAAAACTATAGGTTAAAAAGATAATTACTCTTCAGCAATTGTTCACTGTGTTGATGCACTAAACACAAAGAGATACCCAGAGATGAAGACAAAAGCAACAGACGTAAAATAATTAGCTGAATGGTAAAGGGGTTAAAGAAACCATAGCTACTGACACAAAATGAAAGAGTAATTTGTTCTGCTTTTCAGTAAGTTGACTATTACTAGCTACAGGAGAAAAACGAAGTATAAATGGGAATAAAATAATGGAAATAACTATAACAGAAGTAAAAACAAAATTACAAGTGATTTTGCCAGAAGGGTAAACAAAATGTCCTATTTGAGATTGGCATGAAAATACAGATCTAGTAGCAACTATTTTAAATCAAGCTTACTAAATTAGTGATAGTACCAGATCCAATGACAAATGCTTTGCCTGTGTTTGTGTAAGAAGAGGAAACTGCTGTGTGCCACTGCAGACTCATGAGTCTGGCTCAGTAATACATTTAGTTTTAAAACAAGTCTTGATGGGAAAGACCATTAAAGCTACAGGTAAAAGGGAAGTGGAATATTGGTTTACCAAAGCAGGGTACACCAAACTAACTTGATCTGTTCTTTTTTTTCCTTTCTTTTCTTTTAAATAGAATGACTTCATTTTAAAGAGAAAGGAAGTAAAGGGGGTATATTCTGTGTGTCCTTTTACAATGTACTCATTATGCTGCTGAAAAGAAAATTGCTCACTTGCTTGAAGAATGTGGAATTTAAGAGCACAAATGTGAGACGACCATGGTAGGTGATTTAGGGCAATATTGAAAAAGGAACCATTAGGCTGTGGGATGGGTAGGTGGGTAGGACTAACCCTTAAGAAGAAATCTTTCCACTGATAGTAATAAAAGAAAAGTGGGATTGAAGTTTCCTGATAGTACAGTATTGAGAAACTTAAATAACGAGGACAACCAATGAAAATAGCTGCATTGCCTTGAGGGCCTGAGGAACTAGGCATGAGATTCAGCTGTGAGAACTGCAAAGCATTTCAGAAAGGTACTATAGAGAAAATATAAAATCTTGTTGTAAGCTAAGAATTTATCAGCAGGAAATAGAGATTATGAGAAGCCTGGTCTGTTTATCAGAATACTAGATGGCTAGAAAACTCCATTCATCATTTTAAATTAAACCTTTGTGTCTTATTATGCCTTCCTTTGTTGTGCTAAAAATCGATTTGTTATCAAAAATCTCTTCCCCACATGGCTACTTGTAGCATATGATCTAGTCACTTTCTTAATTAACTGTATGAATAGAGCTTCTGTCATGCTCTTACTGTTATTCCCAGACTATTTGCTATTCTTGTAGTTCTTTTCTGAGACCCTGCCATCAAGATTCCTTTAGAGGTGCAGACAGCAGTGCATTTCAGCAGTGATCCATTAATACTGTATTACTAAGAAATTACTAAGACATTAGTCAATAATCATGATTTTGACAAGTTTTCCAATGATGCTGTGGAATAGTATGATGAAATGGAAAATGAGAGGAAGACAAAATATAATTACCAGCATAACAAGGCAAGAATTGGCTTGGAATACCTTTTGCCACACTGCCCAGAGCACCCCAGAGAAGCAGACACCTTTGCTGTCTGCTGCTCCAAAGGAGAGTAGAAGTGAGCTGAGCCAGATAGTAGTGGTAGAACCATTGAGCTTTTACAGGTCTCCTTGCTGGCAGAGGAAATAAGGTAGTTTTCTCTGCCCAGATATTTCTTACTGCCCCAACTCCTCCGGAGAATACAAAGAAGGTAAACAGTAAGGCTGAGGCTATCCTAACACTCCCTGCAACTTATGCGATATACAGCAACCTGCATGACCTGTGTCTAAACCCAGCATTTTCCCTCAGAAAGCAGCATGAACTCAAACAGTAGATACCATAAGTTGCACACAAAAAAGGGGGAAATAACCATTAAATAGGCATCTGGAGAAAAAAAGACCATCCCATGGAAGTGAGGAATGAAGAGCTTATGTTTCAGGCTGGACAAGGAGGCACAGGTAAACAACCAGCTCACTATAAGCCAAATGCCACTGTATTGTCTGTGTCCATGGTTCAGCATCTGTACATTTCTTCTTAAATATGTTACTTCCTATCACCATGAATGACAGTGACAAGGGTAGACTCATAAAATACAGTATTCTTTAGGACACCAAATTGGACCTCTAAGATACGAGATGGGTTAGGCCCTTCACTTCTAGAAATATAATACATGATTGAGGGACTCATTATCTCTCATGCCAAGCAACAGATTCTGGAAAAACAATCCAACTTTCACATGCAACTAAAATGGGAAACAGTCACAACAAATACTTAACTTCAGAATAGCACCTTTACTGGCATTATGCACTGTGAGAGAGATACATTAGTCAATTAGACAATTCAAGAAGTGGTTATACTTTTGAGCTAGTGTTCAATACTTTGGAAATAATTTTCTATGTTAACTGTAAAATCACTTGGCAGTTTATTACTGTCAAAGTCATTCAACATAGACATACTTGACTCTAATTCATATGTCCTGAGTGATGCATTTATGGTAAAATACGTGTGAAGTGACCATTTCTGAGCATCCCCGTAAGCCATTTTCAGCAGGAGCACTTCGTGGAACTTTCCACTGCGCGTTGCTTTTCTGCCCTCTTGGTGGTTTCTTTTATGTCGTTATGCCTCAGTGGCTGTTAGGTGAGTGAACTGGATACAATGCTGTTGCTCTAATTAGACTGTGGTGATCAGTCAGTGGAAATTGCCTTGCTTTTCTTGCACTGCTTTGTTTACCTTCCTGTTTGAGCTTGTAAATCTTTTCTGTCAAACCTCTGCATTCCATCTTTCCATGCACTTTAAAAGTTGATTTTGGGATGGAGATTACTATCTTCAAAACTGCCTGGGTATATAAAGCTTTCCTTTTTTTTTTCCTTTCAAAAATACCACATTTTGTTAAGAAAACATTGTGAGAGATTCTTTGTATTTGGCTAAATCCTGGTGTTCTTACTGAGGATAATATGCACTAATGGTGATAAAATCTCACCCATTCTAAGATCCCTTGGCCCCAAATCATTTCCTCTACCATAATCCTTAGGAGTGAATGAGTGTTTGAGTTAGTTGCCATTATGTGATCAAGATTCTACTAGGTTAAACTGCTTTGCTGCTCAAAAGATCTTGAATCCAGCCTTTCAATTGTACTTGTAGTTTTGCCTATGCAGTTCTTCTTGTGCCAACTCTTGATATTCTTGATTTGTTTCCTCCATCTTTCTTATTAAAGCAAAATCCAATTGAACATTTCAGAATAAGCCTTGGTGTTATCAGACTTCATATTTACATGCACGAGTCACACTCTGTATCAAATAGAGTAGCTGGACATGACATCACAGACTGCAGATCTGACCAAGGATCAAAACAGGGGACCTGTTACACATCCTTTCTGTCAACTAATTTTATGCAACAACATTTTTCAAGTGGGGAACATTTGCATATTCAGTATCTTTAAATACATGAATGTGAGGAACCATTGAACTCTTTTGTCTTTAACTGACTTTTATGCTAAGTTTGGACAAGATTAAGACCTGTGCTGAAAGCCACTTCTACTGGCATAACTTTGTAAGTATGAGCTATAAAACTATAAATCATTTTAAAACAAGGAGCATGGAGCTGATGTGGCATGTTTGTAAATCATATATATCAAAGAAAAACCTGTCAAGCTGTGCTTCATAATGTAAACCTAGAGATAATTCAAATAGAGAAGTCTGCAATTTTAAAATATTTTTAAAAATACAATTCCAGCTTGTAATTAAAAATGTGCATGAAGAAAACTTTTATTATTATTTCTGGAACTAACAGAGAGTGCTAATTTTTTACTGTAAATATTTCATTTAATAGCTTGAAGTCAATTTTAGCTGTTTGCTTTCTGCCACTGAATTCAACCTGTATTAACAGGCCCAGAAGCAAACAAATTTTTTCTGCTCAATTATCTGAATAGTGAAGAGTACAAGTTCTATAGGCAACTTCTGTAAATTTTGGTACAAGAAACCTCATGCTGAGTTACACTTAAAAATACTGAAAGCAAAAGTAATGTCAGATTACTTCACTTACATCTGAAGTAGAACTTCAGATTTTTTACTTGCGTCTACAAAGCAAAAGAAAGGTAAATGAAAATTATCAAATGAGAAAAACATGAGGGAAGTTACTAAAATATTCAGGAAAAAACCCAAAAATTATCCAAGAGGTAGATTTTATAAATTATTTCTTCCTCTCTGATGATTTCCTTTATGATTGTAATAAATTTAAGTCTTGTATAGTGCTATCAACATTTTAATAGCTAGTCAGGAAAGGAAGCAGAGTCTTTGGTGGTCATCCAACGTAATATCACTGCAAAGTGCTTTTTCAATTGTTAATGTTTCTAATCAAAGTTTGTCAAGTTGGGAAGAGCTCCCTGTAAAACCTGCAAAGCCACTCCATGTTTTATTTCTCACAAGTCTCTTCAAAACTTGTCCTTGCTGATGTCTGCAAAAAAAATCAGTGGGTAGACTGCTGGGGTGCAACCATAACTGCATAGCAGACAAAGATTTATTTCACTTCTTGTCACCATCTGAAATATTTTCTAGCCTTTTGTTGTGTCTATCACTTTTCTCATTCTTTTAGGGTAAAGTTTTTGGAAGTGAGACTGTCTTTCTATTGTGTTCTACAGTTGTGGTCCATGGCTAGGGCTCCTACTTGTTAAGTTATTGTAAGTGAAACCTTTTCATACATTCTATTCCCCAAGAAGATACTGGCACATATGCTCACATACGTTAAATATCTTACTTTTCTTTGCCAATGATGCTTCAAGTGGCATACTGAAATACTCTTTTGTTTTCCCCAGATAAGTAAATGAGACTCAGCAAAGCATATGAGCAGACTGCGCTTCAAGCATGTAAACCATGTCACTGCTAGAAACCAGTCCAATGTATGTTTCAGTGCATAGTTATGTATTGTGCTAAGCCATGATAACAGACATCTGGTTAAAATTCAGCATGAATTCAGAACTTTATTTCTGTTTGGTCTTTCTGTGCTGAAAAGCCATTAAAATCATAGGATGTGAAAGTGTATTATCAATTCAAGCCCTTTACACACAATACCTTATGCAATAGGTATATTTTTCATTGGAAAATTTGGAGGAAGAGGACGCTGATGTTTGGGCTTATAACAAAGGAAAATAAATTTGTTAAGAAAATAAATCAAGACCAATCACTGTGTAGCTCCTATGTTCCTCCTGCACAACATGGGAAGAAAATGCAAACTGTTTGCTTCCTCTTTCCAAAACTGTATTTGAGTGCTGCATGGACAAAATCTCTGGACTTCAGGTGTCTTGAAAAGGATTTGATTCTTCAAATATTTCTCAATGTAGGTCACCTGAGAGACTAGCCAGGCAAGAAACTGTCACACTTCATGTACTGTTGAAGATTTTTCTGAGCTACCATTGTGAAATTTTGTGGGCTTATGCTCTTGCCTTACATGTGTCCCACAGTTTAAAAGGGTGGAGCACTTTATATACTTTGTAAAATCTTTTAAATTTTTTCTTCTTTCTTTTCTTAGAACACAATTCTGGACCCTAAAGTAGAGTAAGGAATAGCAAATATGAAATTATCCATCAAATGTATATTAAACAGTGAGTTGTACTTCTACTTTCAACACCTGGAGAAAAAAAATTAATCTCATAATAATGAAAAGTGTGCATCACAAGACTGATTAGTCTTCCTGATCATAAGCCTCAACAGTAAAATTAT